GTTCTTTATGTTGGTGCTGTACCTTGTAGAATATAAGATATATCCCGTCTTCTGCAGTATCGATCCTATGAGCAAGAGAAACGAAAGCAAAACGATTATAGATGCTTTTATCGCTACAGGTCCTCGAATGCGTTCGCAACTCGTTTTAATGAACTCCTTTATAACTAAAAGGAAAAGAGCTATATTGTTTGCATGCGATTATATCAGCTTTTATAGGAACTGACTGCTTGCATAATTACTTTTGATATTTTTATTTTAATTACACCGTAATTATATTGCATTTTGGCTTTACCACATATGAAGTACCGCATTCGACTCCTATAGCAACATAAAAGTTTATTAGATAGGTGTTTGAACGATTCATGGTTCAGAGGCGCCAAATACAACAGATAGTGCAACAGTTATTGCCGAAGCCTTTCGCTACATGGACCGTAACATCATCAGTCTAAGGCTAAGTACAAATGGCTATTTGAAGGCATTTAAATATGACCTGAGACTTCTTTGCTTTAATTTTCATTTCTTTGATGCTGTCATGGACTCTTCGTTGTTGTTCTTATGGACCATCAGAAGACACCGCAGGTGGCTTAAGTAATGATCATTTATCATCGGCCCACGATCTTCCAAACGGCATGCCTTTGAAACCTCTTCTAAGGCTACTGTGAATAACTTTGTCGACTGAGTCGAAAAACTTTTCAGCGGTGGTGCATCAGTCATCTTGGGCTTCATCTTATTACTCTTCTTCAGGGAAATTATTTTCTGATATAGTTAATAACAAGGTTGTGGTTTTGCATATTCTGTTATAATTAATTCCCGTTCTATTTTTTCCTATTCGTTTCCTTTTCTATGTGCTCGGTTTTTGATGTAGAGTATGTTTTTTTCATTTTAACAAACCCGTTTTTACTGTTTTATTGTTGTTTATATATCGTATTGAATGAGTTTGAATGTTGCAAGACTGGCGTCAGTAATGACAGTTAATTTTGTTCTTGCTAAAGAATTTTGCAGTGTCTGTAGCTGGCCAGTCGTTGTCTGTTCAGTTCATGCATCTGCTACATGCTTTAATCATTTTATAATATTATAAAATTGGGTGGTAATTTAGAATTTGCAATCTCGGGTATTCAGTGCAGGGTTTATTTTTTGAAGCCGTACCTATTCAGATTAACGATTTAAATAATTGCAATGAGCTGTTATTATTTTGGGTTAATATAAGCTCATAATCATATGGTATGAACAGTTTGGCGGTGCTGTAATTGAAAGGAATTGGATTCTGACGGTAGAAATATTAAATCTCGTTCATGGCATGCAAAGCATGGCAGCGTATGGCATGAAAAATACGTTGGAGGGTTTCCTGTTGATTTTTGTAGCCTTTTTGAATACTGAATTTTGGGTGACGAATCCGGGTGATTACAGCTAGCAAATCTATTTATAAATCAGCAGTGTCATATCCACGTGGACGAACATATCCGTGCCGATGTACTTTTAACACAAACAAACTTGCAAATCTGTGTGTTAAAATGATACATCAGCTACAGACACAGCGCAAGGATTCATATTATCGTTCATGCGAATTTTTAACATTCACTGTAAGTTTACTATTTTGTTCTTGCGATTAGTAAGACTACATAATGTCTTGACGTAGACTTTGATCGTTAATACCAAGAACTGAAGAGTAGTTTGTAGTGACATCTTTAGTATCACTAATTCTTCAAACTGTCGAGATGCGGCGAAGTGGTGTTGACTGAATTTGTGCATCTTGTATTTGTCTCTGAATGAACCATTAAGTTTGTCAGTATGACTTCAGCGGCTGAAACGTATCCCTGAAAGTTTGTATCGATTGTGATTCGTGTTTTTGATCATCAAAAGCGGCGTATACCTACTTTAACAGTCATTCAGTTGTATTACTGTAGCAGTCAGTATGACGTCTACCGTCGGTCAGTCAGTTTCGATTGGCACTTATTTTTTCAGGTAGCGGAGGTAGCAACATCAGCCAATATCTCCAACATTTGATCCTATGTCAGCGTCTGAGCTTCAGCAGAGGATAACCCGAGTCTGGAACGAGGTCTCTTGAGGCTTTTGATAGGTTGAGCAAATAGTGGCTGTTTCGCATTCTTTTCTAGGAGCAGTCGCAAGACGTGCTCGAACCATCGCAGCTGTGACTGCTCAATAAGCAGACGTAGCGGTTGTACATTAAGGCTTTCTAGGATGTCTGAACTCTGGAGTCTGAGAATACGCATGAGATTTCTCGGCACTGACAAGCTAACTTATCTTATGTTCGTATTAGGCAATTTTGACAAATCTTCGGTAATCGTTTTGGCCAGTGGTATTTTCCCTGCCACTGTTCTGGTTCTAACGGCCTGTAGTTTCGTTTTTCTGTAATGTTTGTTACTACACTGGTTTATCTCCCCCTTTGGACAGAGGTTTTTTGATTAATTTCGAGGCCAACTATTCTTTTCGGGTCGCGTTGTTAATTACAAAGTCTTTTCAAGTATGAAACGAGATCGTGAGAGAGAGAGAGAAATTGGTTTTCTGTTATCGCTCTTAAACGAATCGAGTATGAACAGATGGTTTGCTGTTCTTGTAGTTCAGTTCTTGGAACTTTCGTTCACCACTAGATGCGAAACTTTCTCTCACTTCCCGTCGGGCCGTAGCGATGACATGTTTACTTGCACGTTCTATCACGCAAGGCCATGTAATGTAAATAAAAATTTGAATGAAGAAATGACATTCAGTTCTTTGCTCTTATTATGGTTGAGAAAAAGCAGTGATCTTTTCTAAATATTGACTGTTTTTTAGCGACTGAGGGGAATTGAAATTCCTTTTTTCGGTCTGTCATAAAATTACCACTTAGTCACTGTAAGACATGCATTGTGATAATAGTACTCGCCAATTCTGATTACCTGCAGTTTTCCAGCGACTAAGGAGAACGCGCATTACCGTATATAACCAGTCATAAATTCTACGCATTAGTAACTATAATTACTGCATATACGT